CATTGAGCTAACCAGTCTCAAATAGGACGAAACGCTCATCGAGATTCCACTCCTAGCCACTATCCATCTTTGTTTATAATGCTCGTGGCTTAAAGAGTTATCAAGACAATCCGCACAGGATACACATATGCCAACATGAAACTGACCAACTGCAGTCCTTGATAACAATAGGAAGATACAAGTAAAACAACAAAAAGTGTAATATTAACTGTTTTCAAAGCAAAAAATAAGTGAATAAATAAGAATCCTGTTGCTTACAAACTTCTAGTAACTTAATTTTACTAAAAAAGATGCCATAATTAATAATTAAATATACCACCGGGTCTGTTGTGAGATAGTAACTCACTAAAGACAATCGTGGATGTGTCGCTTAATTTAGTGGAGTGAAGTTTAACATAAACATCGTTGGATGCCGACTGGCACAGTGGTCTAGTTGTTAAGCGCTGGCGTGCTAAACTGATAGGTTTTGGGTTCGAATCTCGCTAGGTGAGGTCATGGATACGCACTTCTGAGGAGTCCCATAATATGACAAAACGGGCATCCAGTGCTTTCAGGTTTTTCACGCTGGTCTAGCTTCAACTAACTCATGATCTTAGCTATTGAAGTCATAATGCATTAAATTTTGTTTAGATTTTATTTATCATAAAATTAACTTAACTATTTATTAATGAATTAGATGACTCGATATAAATTGTTCAACAGACGGTTAAACACTTAACAATATTGATTATCACTTTTAAAAGTCTTATAATTTTAATCAAAAGTTTCACTATTATATAATATGCTCTTTATTAATAGAATTTCAATAATTCACTATGTATAACCCATTAGACATATTCATAAATAGGTTAAGATACTTACATACATACATACATACAGACAGACATACATGCAGAGGAGGTAATTCTTTGATGTCAGCTTGAATAATAAATGCCATTACTGAATAATTGGAATTTTAATGAATCAAAAAGAGAGTAAAATCACCATTATTATTATTATTATTATTATTATTATTATAAGGACAATAAATCAGCACGAGAAATAAACTGAAAGCAATTGATCATCTATTTCTCACTATTCAAAATAGAAAAGCACCTTAACTAACAATAAGACACAAGCAAATCAAACCACAAAATCACCTTCTATTTTATTTTCTTTTTTTTGTAACAATTCAATATTTTAAATTTTAGAGTAATAAAACGAGAAAAAAAGAAAGAAACGAAAAAAAAAGTTAAATGGAAAGTTAAGAATTAGATATAAGTATAAAACGTAATATAGAGAAGCATAATAACAATAGCAATAATAATAGTAATAGTAATGGTTGGTAATGAATGCTTTTTTAACGTGTGCCAATCAACCAAAATATTGAAATTATCATTTCTGGTTTTATTTTTTTTGTCGTTGTTGTTGATACTTTCTGTAGGAAAAAACAAACAAATAAATGTTAATTAAATCAAATATCAACAACAAATAACCATAACACTAATCATAATAAGAGTTAGATGTAGAGGGACAAAAAAAAGAGGCAAAATTTATTCAACCAGAAAGATAAACTTATGAAATATTAAATATTGCCTTCGATGTTCACTGAATATATAATATATATATATATATATATCAAAATATGCTCAATAGGGACTGGCCTCAAGAGATATTTCCTGAAGTTCTAGTGAGAAACAGTAACCAATGGAGTTTAACCGGGTCTCTCACTTACTTACATACGCCTGTTACTCCTCGCGAAGGAGCATAGGCCACTCAAAAGCATTCTCCATCCAACCCTGCACCAAGCAATCCTTTCCACCTCTTTCCAGTTCTTATTCATCCTTTTCATATCCGTTACTAATTCCCAACGTAATGTGTTCTTTGGCCTTCTTCTTTTCCGCTTCCCCTCAAGATTCCAAGTTAGCGCTTGTCTCGTGGTGCAGTTTGATGATCTGCGTAATGTATGTCTTATCCATTTCCATAGTCTTTTCCTAATTTCCTTTTCACCTAGAAGTTGGTTCGTTCTCTCCACAGTAAACAGTTACAGATGGTATTCGGCCAATGGATCTTGAGTATCATGCGTAGACAACTATTAATATACATCTGTACCTTCTTGATGATGGTTGTTGTAGTTCTCAAAGTTTCAGCTCCGTACAGTAGAACTAACTGCTTTGACGTTCGTATTGATTTTGGCTGAAAGTTGTTTTGAGTTCCATATGTTTTTTAATTGAAGGAAGGCTGTCCTTGCTTTGCCGATCCTCACCTTTACGTCTGCATCTGATCCTCCTTGTTCATCAATGATGCTTCCCAGGTATGTGAAGGATTCCACATCTTCCAGAGTTTCGCCATCAAGAGTAATTGGATTGGTGTTCTCCGTGTTGTATTTGAGGACCTCGGTTTTCCCCTTGTGTATGTTGAGGTCTACTGATGCAGAGACTGCTGATACACTGGTTGTTTTTATCTGCATTTGTTCGTATGTATGCGATAGGAGGGCTTTGTCATCTGTAAAGTGCGAATCGTCTAACTGTTTCTGAGCTGTCCATTGTATTTTGTGTTTTCCCTCAGATATTGGGGTCTTCATAATTCAGTCGACCATCAGAAGAAAGAGGAAGAGAGAGAGTAGTAGATAGTAACTCACTGATGACAATTGTGGATGTGTTGCTCAATTTAGCGGATTAGTTGAAGTTAAACATTAGATGCCGGCCGTCTCCGTGGTCTAGAGGTTAAGCATTTGCGCGAGACTGATAGGTCCTAAGTTTGAATTTCGCTAGGCGGGATCATGGGTGTGTACTTCTGAGGAGGCCCACAGTTAAAAGAAATGGTCATCTGTTTCTTCCAGTTTTTCCATGGTAGTCTAGCTTCAATTGACTCATGATCTCAACTATTAAAATTACTATAATATCCACAAATACCCCTTCTGATATATAACATTGTTGAAATAAACATCTAAGAAAAGTATTACACAATATGTAATCATTGACTGAAATTGGTGTGATTGTAAATTAGTGATCTATAAAAACCACTGTTTCCAATTTTTCAAAAGTTTCGTCAATAATATGAATATTTATTTTTCGTGTTTTTTTTGTTGACTGGTGAACCAACATAATGCTTTTTTTTAAAAAAATGAATAGTTTTACTTTTGCTTCCGGTTAAGTTACAATTTTCATCATGGAAAAAAACCATGTTAATCATGTTGTAGGGGCTGGTCTTATGTCGAGCCCACATAGCTTATTCTAGCTTCTGGACAGGTCAATATTTCTATTCTTATTGAGTCACATTTTTTACACTCGTTGATCGGACCAGACAATCAAAGAATGGCAGCGAATGAAGCGAAGAATAAAGAGCGAAGCGAAACAAAATGACTCGCGGTGTAAAAGGCGTGTGAGCCAACTTCAGTTAATCAAGCGTTGACGGATATTTATTATTAATAATAAACAGATATGTCATCAATAGAATAATAAGTGTGCACACAAACACTCATATAAAAGAAGTCAAGGTTTCTAAGTGAATAATTAACAAAGTCAAAATATGACTGAAGAAGAATTGGACTGTCTAGAAGATAGAATAAGCTACGTGGGCTCGACATAGAACCAGGCACTACAATGCGTACTGTTGTTAATACAGATGTCATTTTTCCTCTTTAATAATGTATAAATCACTAGATGGTTTTTACGTCTAGATCGCTATTCATCCAATGTGTTATATCTCGACGAGAATAATGAATGGTAACTGTTGGGATTTCTTTATGGACAAATACTATATATATATTCTTATCGTATAATTGTTAAGTAAAGAAACTACATATGTTTATATTCCTTTTATTATTAACTCTTGATTAACTTATTGGTTACTGTTATATGATTTTCTATTCTTAAATTATCCTCAATCTATTGGTCACAGTTTTGCATACTCACAACCACTTTTCGTTTGATCTTATACAAATGTTACATCCTATTTTATGGTGTGATATGGTCTGATTTTGCTTGTAGATAAATCAAGTATGTTTAAAATTTATTATTTGCATCGCAGCGGTTGAGGTTGGCGTTCTGGACTTAACAGACAGAGCTAGAAGGAAAAAAGATCGATCGAAACTTTGGGCTACTCGTACTGGTGTATGCGTCATTAGTTTGATCGTATAAGTCAGAGTATAGTTAAAGACATAATGAATCGAATATAACTTCATGTAACGGTTTTCTTTTAAATCTAAATCTAAGTAATGAAATTGTTTTGAGATAATACATCAAATGTATATATAATTAGTAAAATATATTTATTCAGAGATTGTTTTGAAAGTACTTTCTTCTAAAATTAAGTTAAATACTTTAATAGTAGTTATGACAAAAAACTGTTTCAATGGTTGAGATCATAAGTCAGTTGAGGGTAGACCACCAAGGAAAACCTAGAGGCACTGGACGGCCGTTTCGTCCTATTGTACGACTCCCCATGATCTCAACCATTGAAATTACTACAATATTCACAAAAGCTTTCTCATATGAAAAAACTTTCTTAGGAAGTCTAGAAAATAGATGAGATTTAGTGTCAAATTTACCGATTTACATGTATTTGAATTTAGGAAATAGTTAAGACAACCTGTTTTAATGATCAAATAAAAGGTATACACATTATAATCATAAACGACTTTAACAACCAATTCTTTGATATTATTTCACAGGCAATTGTGATAATTGTAGAGCCGAAGGAATGACAGAGCTGATCGACAATCTAAATGATTTTACTGATTTCATTAAGTATTTCTAACCCTATTAACTCTGCTATGGCAGAGTAAGGATTGTTTCATTTATAGTCGAAGAAAGGTTTTACATACTGGTTTCGGAAACTACTAAAAGAGGATCTACTAATAGTTCCACGTTGTTTACATGTGTTACTAAGACTCTCGAAATTATTTAATTTTATTTGCATTCATACTGATTTGCATTTTGCGTGTCTGTAAATGTGAGAAAATAAAGCACATAGAAATAAAATCAACCATTTATTCAATTCATTTTCTATTTTAATAGGCATATCCTTCTGGGATTAGTGTCCACATTAATGTAAAAAATATCAGATTACTGCCAGAATATGAAGATGTTGAACATTTAGCCAGTGATAATGGAATTGTTATGGATCCTTCAAGAAAATCGAATATGCAACATTGGCGTAAACCACTTGAGAAAATAATTAAAACAGCATGTCGGTAGGTAATTTCTTTTATTATTATTCGTTTCTTTAATTTAGTACAAATAAAACAATTATGACACAATGACTTAATTATCTTCCTCTGTATATATACAAATATGTATACATACATTTATGGTATCTCGCTATCGATTAATCAGCGTAGTTTGATTTAAAACGCTTATAAATTTGGAAGTGATGTATTTCCTAATTAATAAGGTTGTTGCTAACCTATAGCATTTACAGACAGCTTAGTCAAATTTATCATAGTGATCTTATTATCATAGGTAATCTTTGGTTATGTTTGTCTATCTAACACCATGAATTCACCATAAATATTGAAAAGATTCAATGTAGAAATCCATTGTATGATTTTATAATAAATGTACGTTACCAGAATTCGATAACTATTAAGTTACTAGTGTCACATGAGTACATAATCCATAGTTCTACGTAGAATATGTCAAATTAGTTTATTACTGAATGTAAAAATTAGTTATTTAAGTGGTCAGTATCAGAAGTTACTGAAACGAATGTTCCTTTTTTTTTCATTTTCTGTTATAAGTGACCATTGTGATCATTTTAAGTAACAAATCTTAAAAGAATTCAGGTAAACATGACAGTCTTAAAATCTTTGATTCTTTGATAACTTATAACAATGTCTAATAATCTTAATATTATTCAAGAAATTAATCAACATGAATTGAACATTTATTTTACTTACATAAATAATCTCAATTCTTCTTTGATAATTCACCTAATAGAATAAGTAGATTTACTGTTCAGGATTCTTTTAAATGTATATTTATGATCGGGAATCATTAGATATTAACAACATTTGAGATCGTCTGAAAATGAGATTAAGAATTTATTTAAAGCAATTAATCCCTTTTATAAATTTCGATAGAACAATGAGAAGATGCAGTTGAACTGAAAAATGTGATGTTTTTTAGCTATACATTTTAAACAATCTGATCACATATATATGAAAATTAATAAGGGTTAATTAAATGAAAGTTCAAGTAAAAAACCTAACAAAGTTGAGTGAAACAATTTTACATCGTATAAAAAGAATAAGAAATTGTCGCGTTATCCTAGGCCATAGAATAACTTAAAGCTTTTCAGGGTAAATTCAAGGTTACGATAAACTGCTTTTGTACTCATAACGGGCTTCCAAACCAATTAGTATCAAATGATCCGATCAACGTAGGAGGCAGAAAACCATGTTTACTGACAGCGAAACATATAATTGAAACCGGGCAAAAAATTGACATTAATACAGCTTTTAGAATGTTGTACAGAAATTGTCAAGGATAAATCCTCAAGTTTATTGAAGCCTTGCCCATTTGTAAATTTAAACCCCCCTTATAGGTACAAAAAAAATTTGTTGTAACCTTTAATTTATCCTGGTAATTGTTAAGTTATTCTATGGCCTAGGATAACACGACAACTTATTCTTTTAATACGGTGTAAAATTGTTTCTCTCAACTTTTATTTAATTAAAATGCCCTGACAAGTATACGTGTGATCAGTTTGCTCGAAATGTATAACGCCAATACATTACATTTTTCAGATCAACTCCATCTCATTATTCTATCGAAATATACATTCTTCTATAAGATGATACTTAAGTTGAACAAACAATAATATTACATTGTCATAATTCAAACTCAGTAATGAAAATAAAACTATATAATTTCATTATAAACAAGCTATTGAATTATGCATTCACATAATTAATTTCAGTTACAATTAACTATAGCTTCATATAATGATTACAAGCAATAACTAAACAAGTAATTACTAAATAACTAGAGATATTGGTGCATCTCAACAATGTGTAGTTTTAATTTTTATAGCTCATAGTAACCAAAGTAAAACTAAATTATATATATATATATATATATATATATATATATATATATATATATAGAGAGAGAGAGAGAGAGAGAGAGAGAGAGAGAGGGAGGAAACGAGATTGCCAAGTCTTCATAACTGTTAATTTTATTTCATCCATTTATAAGATTCTTTTATTACATTTCTTGATCGAACTACTTTTATATTTTGATTCATAAATAAATGAATTACAATCAACTATGATAAAATAATTACAAAACAATTTACATCTGTAAAGAAAGATGGATAGTGGCTAGCAGTGAAATTCAGGATTCGTGTTTCGTCCTATTTGGGGCTCATCGGCTAAATGTACACGAATCCAGTACTGTTCGCTTCAAACGCCATCGCGTTCTCCACTTAGCTACTGAGTTCTGATAGACAATTACTTGTTCAATGGGGTAAAGTTTTATTCACTTGATATTGTTTTACATGAATCTTCCGATTGATGTCTAGAATTGAAATTGATCAGTCTCTTATTGACATATGGGAAGATTCAAATAAAACAATACCAAGTAAATTAATTTACATCTGTGTTTAATCAGCTTTCATTAAAATTAAATCCATCATAATTTAATATATCATTATTCATTGTGTTTTATAAAGATTATAGGTTATTTAATTAAATGACCTTAAGTTAAATAATTAAAAATTTAATGAAATGTTCAATTTCTAAATGATTAGAAATAATGAATGAGAACACGAATTGTTAACTGTTTATTATTGTCTTCCCTGACAATTCATAATAAATTATATAATCATTGATGACATAATCAAACAATAGATTTGATTAAATTCATTCAATGTTAATTTCCGGTTATCATATTTAGTTTTCTTTTCATTTGAATTATAAAATTAGAACATTAAAAAATCCGAAATAAATTTTAATAAATAATTAGTATCAGAAGGGGTTTTTGTGGAGATTATAGTAATTTCAATAGTTGAAATCATGAGTTCATTGAAACCTAGCCACCATGGCAGTTGGTCCAGATGTATTGGCTTCAGAGGTCTTTATGGATGGTAGTCTAATTTTAGCGATTAGGTTGACTAAGATTTTAGCTAAAATCTGGGAGTTGAATGTTATCCCATCTAACTGGTCACAATCAGTTATTATCCCAATAAATAAGAGAGGATCAAAATCATCCTGTGACAACCATAGAGGGATTAGTTTAATTAATATAGCATCTAAAATACTAGCCTCGATAATCATTGGACGCCAAACTAAGACTCATGATCTGAAAACAAGAAAAAACCAAGATGGCTTCAGACCTGGTCATGAGTGTATCGACCACATATTCACCATTCGTCAGGTTCTAGAACACAGGTATACTTATCAGCGTCCAACAATGATGGTCTTTCTTGACTTGAGAGCAGCATTTGACTCTGTGGACCGCGAGATTCTGTGGCAGTGTCTGTCATTGAAAGATGTATCTCAGAAGTACCCAAACTTTGTGAAGGCTCTTTACTCGAACACTACCAGTTGATGCAGAGCTCATGGCGAACTGTCATTTGATTTTGCAACTGCAAGTGGTATCCGACAAGGCTGTCCACTTTCTTTATTTTTGTTTAATTTTACCGTAGACGTATAACTGGAAATAACGATCTCGTCGATTGAATTTTCGGGCATTGATCTCTTACCAAGAGGTCCACTTAAGGACTTCGAATACACAGATGACAAAGTTCTGTTTGATGAATCTGATAACATGCATAGTATTCTGGTAGCACTGAGCAACAATGCCGGAATGTTTGGAATGCTCTTCTCTTCGTCTAAATGCAAGTTGTTGCTACAGGACTGACCTGCATCAATGCCTTTGCTAAGAATAGAGAGTGAAGTAGTCAAACGAGTCGATAACTTCACCTATCTTGAAAGTCTGATCAGCCCTAATGGGTTGGTGTCTGACGAAATCTTCGCGCGGACTCAAAAAGCTCGTTTGAGTTTTCCAACTTACGTCACCTATGGCGAAGACGAGATATCTGTCTATCATTTAAGGGATAAGTATACTGTGTGGCGGTCCGTTCTGTTGTACTTTACAGCTGCAAAATGTGGGCATTAAGGGTTGAAGATACTCGTAAGTTATTAGTACTTGATCATAGATGTCTTAGAAATATTTCTGGCATCTGCTGGGATTACCGGGTAAGTAGTAGTGAGGTTAGACGCACGGTATTAGGGAATGATGGCAGATCAGTTGATGAGGTTGTGAATATTCATCTACTGAGATGGTTGGGCCACGTACCACGCATGCTCAACCATCGATTACCACGACGTGCAATGCTAACCGGTGTAGGAGATGGTTGGAAGAAAGTTAGGGGCGGCCAAAACAAAACGTGGCATCAATGCTTCACTTCACTAACTTCTGGTCTTAGCCATGTTAGTAGATGCAGATCTACTTGGTTGGGGTTCGCGTAACTATCATAACCAATGGTTGAAGACTCTTCGTGACATGCCTCAGAATCGATCACAGTTGCGTTGGTGTATACACTCTCTGTCTTCCCTTAAACCGTGAGATTAAAATCGCTTCATATCTTTCTTTCTACGTACTGAATCTTTCTTCCTGTACTATATCCTTATATGTAATCTTTCTTTTATGTATTACCACCATTGACGTAACAACTCCTATGAATCTGGTGTTTATCTTGCTGTGCCAATGCGGTATGGCGACTTGGACTGATGCGTATATGTGCCTGGTCCTAGGTTGTAGCTGACTGACTGAGACCACCATAGAAAACTTAAAAGCACTGGATGTCTGTTCCGTCCTATTGTGGTACGCCTCAAAATTTCGCATCCTTGACCTAGACTTCAAATCACCATTCATGTAATTGAAATATTTACAAATAATTAATAAAACAGTCTTTTAAAAGGAATCGAGGGTGCGCACTGCTGAGGAGTCCTGCAGTAGGACGAAGCGGCCACTACAGTTCAAAATTCCTTGACATTCAGTATCTGATAAAATCACCTACATTAATTTGAAAAAAATACTTACTGAAAAGTAATGGAAAATGTTAATCCAATGATTATTATTATTATTATCACTGACTAACCTGAAGAAGATTGTCTGTGCTGATAATCAAAAACCAAAACCATCTAAACTAGTAGATAAAATTATCACAAACACTATAATCTTATTT